TGAAGGAGGTGTGGCCTAATCCAAAACATTTTGTGAGTTTGCAAATTTCTGTGATATATACGAAGTTGGTTCTAGTACTCAAAATATAAACTACTAGCCTCATTTAAACCAGCACAACCCTGAACAATCAGTTACAAAAGATGAAAGAATTAAAGCTGTACTTCATTTTAATGAACATGGTCTTACTTTGTCCAGCCAGCTTCATATCTGACAGCTCATTTCTGCCCAAATGAAACTTAAAAAAAAAAAAAAAAAAAAACTTCCAGTTGCACAACTTTTTTGTTGCTTTCTGTGGGATCTGCATTCTGACACACACCTCTAGTCTTAAGAAGTATGAAGCCAGGACTTACTACATACAAAGTATGCAGTTTAGAATTAGTATGCATTACTTGTATACTGAATGTATTTTAATATAAATGTGGTATGCATCACTTTATATATTTTAAGTAAGTCTGAATCAAAATGACTTTAATTATATTTCCAGTATTAGGAATGGGAAATGCTAGAATAAGCTCCATTCACCTGTTTTACAGCCACTTAACTGTAGGTGATTTCTGCAGGTTCCTGGCTACGACAGCTCTGCGTTTCCTCACCTTGTTGCTTGTCATGTTCAGTGTTTCCTGTGTGAATATACAGAGTGCGAGAGCAGTAAATCACACACAGCTCCATAGGTTTTCATGTCTGTTAGAGGCAGTAGTTCACTTTCTTTTCTTACATCTATCACCTCCCCAGTTGTGAGGCCCACAAGTTCCTGCTCTCGTCCTGAGGTCTACAACCTCCTGTACCATTTACATAGAACTCCTGCCATCCTGAGGACCACAAACTTCTGCTTCCAGCTCAGGATCAGATCATTCTGAGATCTACAACCAAGCCATAGGTCTACAAACTCCTGTTCCAGTCTTGAGGTCTACAAATTCCTGATCACATCTTGATGTTTACACTCCTCTTCTTATCCTGAGGTATATAACTTCCTGCTCTCATTCTGAGACCTATAAGTTCCTCTTCTCATCCTGAGGTCTACAAGCTCTTGATCTCATCCTGAAATCTACAAGCTCCTGATCTCATCCTGAGATCTGCAAGCTCCTGCTCTCCTCCTGATGTCTACAAGCTCTTGATTTTTTTTTCTTTGGTTCTACAAGCTCTTGCTCCTCTAATTAGGTCTACAATCTTCTGCTCATGTGCTAAAGTCAACAAGCTCCGGGCCTTGTCTTGAGGTCTAAAAGCACTTGATCACCCTCTGAGGTCTTCAAGTGCCTGAACCGTTTTTGAGGTCATTAGTTTCCTGCTCTCGTCTTGAGGTCTACAGGCTCTTGATCTCGCCCTGAAGACTCCTGCATATGAACAACCTGTTTCCTTCACTTTCATCTAAAGGACTTATACTCACAATTATACTGAACTGTTACTGTAACTACTGTATTAATATCTTTATCGTTAAGCATTAAGTTATATTCCTTATAATTTATAATTTCTGCACTATTTGATATAAAAGAAACTCCAGATGAGGATGGGTTTCCCAGCTGTGTCTCGGTTCCTCCCAAGGATTTTTCTTCACCACTGCCACTCTTGGCTTGCTCACTGGAGGTTAGTACACAACGCTCTAATACATTTACATATACAGCATTTGCCAGACGTCTTTTCCAAAGCAACCTACAGAAGTTCTTTATAGTTCCTGCTGAAAAACACTTCCTCATGGGTCTAAGAATATCATCAAACTAAAACCCTGTTTATTCCACCACCTTGTTGCCAATAGAAAAAAGAGTCTTAATGCATTTCTCGCCCTATTAAAAGAGACAAATTCTGGTTTTGAATTTTAGATATTCTCCAAAAACCTGCTTAAATGTAGTATGTTCATAAACTGCGTGCATTTATAGTGCGAGTCATCTGCAGGAGAAAGCACCATTTGACTTGTAAGGAATAAGACACTTGGTGTTGTGCTGTTATAGGAAAATAAGCAAGAATGGGATGGTGTGATGAAGCTCGACATGATACACCTCAAAGTTGATTACTTTCCTACAGCAGCATGCCTGCAAGTTATTTACAGTTACATTTAATGAAACAAGTAACATCTTATGTTTTAGCAGTTGGTCCCTCACTTTCTCTTGAAGTTATTGAGACAGAAAAAAAAAAGCTTTTGAATTGCAAAAGTGCACCAAGAGTCGAATTTATACTTTTTTTCACCATTAGTTAGATGTTAGACTGACACTGATTGATCGTCTACTTCAGGGTACATCAGAGTATACTACACAATATAAAACTATATAAACTATAAAACCCATAAATAGACACACGTCCACTCTATATGAGATGCAGCTTTGTATGAAATTCAATAACGGTTCGTCATTCAGCTCCAAGCATCACAAAGTGGCTGGACTGGTGCTGCGTTCCAACACACAGGCCAAGGTCTGTTTGAAGTTGTCATTTTCTCCCAGTAATAACCCAAATAGAGAAAAAATGTTCAACTTGGCTGGAGTTTGTTCCACTGGGTTCTCCGGAGATGCCAGAACCATGCATTTCTAACATGCTTCGAATAGCTGATGATGGGTGGACTGAGAGGTTTCGGGAAGGAAACACTGCCAAAGAGGCCTTGAGATTTCTTCAGGGAATCAAAGTCAAAGTGAAAGCACACATTTGTATATATTAAGCAGTATTTTTAACCCTGACCCTGTTCCACCGCCTGCGTCCTGAGATGATTCAGTGTGTTTCGATACACTAGACTGATTTCGTCTGGACGGACGTCTACAGCGGTCTAATTAGTGACCTTTTCTCCCTTAATACAACAAATTCAGTGACATTCAAGAGAGGCTGCTTATAATTCAAACATATCTGAACTGCTAAGGGTTAAGGGGCTAAGGGTTAGAATAAGGGTTAACTCACTGAAGCTCAGTTAAAGTAACATTCAGTACAAAAAAATTTCAAATTTAAAAGATTTTATTTTTAGCCAAACGTAGTCAATTAGTGAGATATCTCTGCTGTCCAATGTTCACTTCTTGATTGACGGTATATCATGTTAAAATAAAAATTTTTTGTAAAATAGTGAGTTTTTTTATTGCTTATTCTATCATGTCTGTAGTAACAGTTCATTCACAGGGACTTGTATTGTATTTTTGGAAGGAGGTGCCAGTTTCAGTGGTAAAGCTGTAACATTATGGCTTTGTGTCTTATCAACTTTAAGAGAGATTTAAAAAAAAAAAAGAGGCTGGTAAAGGGAACGACTGTTTATAGCTGCTATAGTGTAAGTGAGAACAGAAACTAACTTTTTTTTCATGGATGTTCCACAACATTAATGAATAAAAATAAATAATAGCTGAGAATTTGCTGTGGTGTAAGATGAATAAAACACTTCGCAATAATCAACTTCTGAGTGGTAACAGTAACTTCGCAACCACATCACACCACCCCTGCACTGATTATTTTCCTATAACTGCATGTTCCAAGTGTTTTAGTCGTTAATTAGCTGCATAGTTAGTTTCGGAACTTCAGTGCGAAAGTAAAAAGGCATTTCAGACCCCAAGCATGGCTTGGCTGATTGATCAAATTTGGTATAAGTGGAAAATATTTCTTTAAGATTCTGCAGTAGTTTATTAGTTTAAGTCCTAAAATTAAAACTTCAAAATTAAAATCCAGGCCCTTAACCTTAATAAATATATAAAATAAATATAAAGAGCCCCACATATATCTCAAGATGGCTGTAACACACCCCGAGCCCCATATACATACACTCAAACACACATACACTTCCAGATTTGTGCCAGGTAAATGTAAAAGTAAAAAAAAAAAAAAAAGGAGCATGCTAAAGCAACAAAAAGCTTTGGACAGCTTGAAAATGGTTTCAATAAAAAAATAAACAGTTCATGAGAAGACAATAATTCCATTTACTCAGAACCTCCTCCTGCTTACTCGTCCTCTTTAATGCAGTGTTTTGGTTCATATTGCCTTACACGGTAGCTGTGCCACTGTGGAATTGACTGTGCCAAATATAATTTGAGGCCGGGAGGTGTGTATTTAGTGTATGTGTGTACTCTGTGTGTGTGTGTGTGTGTGTGTTGTGGCTAAAAGAAGGCCAGCTGAATCCAGTTTTAAGTTAAGAAAGAAGAAAGGATAGAGCGAGTTCAGTTTCCACTCTGAATCTTTGGCACGGAGGGCTAAATTTAAGCACTGGCTACCGTCTGCCTGAGCAGCGACGTTATAGTGGTGCTGCTGATGTATAAAACTCAGCAGGACTCCATAGATACAGCGTGTAACATATTTAGAACAAGAATGGGATTTATTGACCAATAAGATTCACTTACAAGGAATTTGGCACAAGGGCAGCTGCTGACAGTGAGACAGACACGACTGCAAGCAAGAATGAAGAGTTATGGAATACATTAACCCCTTAAAGTCCCGACGTATCAGTCAGTTACTCATCTCAAAGCAAATTACTCAGAATTTGGCTGTAACTACAAGACGTCTGGGTATTTTAAACCATCTGGGGCTTTGTGTTCTTCAGTATTGGCATTCAACTTGAGCAAAGATGATGACATTATAAAAGCTAACTAGCTATGTAACAAAGACTGTCAATATAGAAATGTCTTTCAGTAGCGGCTTTAAGTTCATTCATACTGTTGTTTCTATAGCAACACGAGGACTTATATGGCGAACGCTCCACAATCATCTAAGGCTAATAATAAATGGATTAAAAATGTGCTGTTTTTCAACAAATAAAAACATGTGTAAGATGACAGGGTGAAGTTTTCTGTAAGACTGTAAATTTATGTAAGAGTTATGGAAGGAGTCTCCAGTCCCAGAACTTGGTAACAGTCAGTGAGTTTGCAATTTCTTGGTAAAATGACAAGCTGAATTGTTTTTTTTTTGTCTCATTACCTTCAAGAGAGAGAAAAGAAAGAAGCCGGTGAGGGCATGATCGTTTACAGTTTATAACAGGAACTAACTTGTTTTGCGGATGTAGATACATCCCTTTATTCACCCACAGGGAAATTCATTAAACCGTCATGAGAATCTGCGCCAGCCGGGAATTGAACCTGGTTCAGAAGAATGGGAACTTTGCATGATACCATTACACCACCGCCACTTCAAACACCACCGGTGCTTCAGAACATTCAACAACTTTAAATGTAGCTATAAATGGATAAATTGTAAATAATAAATAAAGTAAAATTGTACATTTTGGCAAATTGATGAAGTATAAGAGGAATAAAACCCTTTAAATGGAAAAGAATCATCTTCGTAGTGGTAACAGTAACGCCTCTTGATCACACCACAGTGTCATTACTTATACAACGGCTTGAAGACATGCCCACCAGTCTGTGGTTCTCAGACAGACTGTTTTCAAACAAGCAAGAGCACATATCCAAAGGTCAGACATTTTTTTTTGTGCGCTCACAAGGATGTAAATATCACGAGCTGACCCCAGGACCAGTTTGCATATTAGTGACTTGGAAAGTTTGAGGAAGTTGAAATGAGAGCCACATTGCCCTGTATGCAAATGCTCCTCGGATCAAAGCAAATGTGCACTGCATTTACATTCAAGGCTCATGAATGATTTATGTCTGTTGTGTCTTTTAGTCCTCTTGCCTGGAATCTGCATTAGCAGTAAAGAGAAGTGCAGCACACACACACACACACACACACACACACACACACACACAGATACAAATCTGTGTACATTGGATGAACTTGCACAGCAGAGCAATTCTGCAACAAAAAAGGTATGCAGAGCATTTGTGCTTGGCTAATGATTCAGTCTCACAGGAGAGCAGAATAGGAAAAAATGCATTACATGCTTCTATACTTCACCGCAAACCTTTAAATGAATTCACCATCCTCATGAGAGTCACAATCTGCAAATATATGAATCAACACTGACAAATCACTGAAAAAAATGAATGCAATATGTAGGAGGAGAATAAATCATGCTCAATACCTGAAAAGTCACACGTGGTTCAGGAAAGACTAAGAAAACAGTTGCGCAAACTGCAATAAGATGCAACCATGCTGCCCTCTGGTGTCCATCCTTCATATTGCAATCATTTCCCTTTAATTCATTACAGAATTAAATTGATGAATTTCTATGTTTACTTATAGTATTTAAAGATTAAGAGTTTTAAAACTTAAATGCTTAGTACATCTAACACTAAGAATTACATTTGGCAATAAGCCACTAAGTATCATTTTCATTATTTCAGTTCATTTGCTAACTCACTTTTGCTTACTTTTGGATGAAGTGTGCACCTGGACCTAGCATCTATCCTAAGTGTGGATGTAGTATGCACCTGGGCCTAGCACCAATAATAAATCTGGATGAATTATGCACCTGGACCTAGCATCTATCCTAAGTTTGGATGTAGTATGCATCTGGACCTAGCATCAGTCCTCAATTTGGATGTAGTATGCATTATTTCTATTTAGTACTTATCCATGTATGCTGTATGTATCCTGCATTTAAGTGAAAAAATGTATTTAGACATAGTAAGTATCAGTATTTAAATGATGTATGCATTTTGATGTAGCATGTGAAATATCCATTTAATATAGTATATAAATAGATTTATATGAAATATTAGTATGTAGTGTGGAACGTATCCACTAAGACATAGTATGTACCTGGATGTAGATGAAGTATGCATTTAGTATTAGTATGCACCTGGATTTGGATGTAGTATGCATTATTTGTATTTAGTGCAAATCTGTACATGCTGTATGTATCCTGGGTTCAGATGAAGCATGCTTTTAGACATAGTATGTACCAGGATTAATATGAAGTATGCAATTATACATGCATATGTGAAGTATGCATTTCAATGCAGTGTGTAGGATAGAGTGTACATTTAGACGTCGTATGAGAAGTATGTTTTATATGTAGAATGTACAAGGATATAAATGAAGTACAAGTTTAGCTGTAGTGTGAAAATGATGCAACTTAATGTAGTCTGTACCTGGATTTAGATGAAGTATACATTTAGATGTAGTGTGCACCTACATTTAGATATGTATGAACTTAGACATAGTGTGTAATGTATGCATTTTAATGTAGTATGTACCTGGATTTGTTGAAGTATTTATTTAGATGTAGTATGCACTTAGACAGAGTATGTACCTGGGCATATGTGAAGTATACATTGAAACGTAGTATGTACCTGAATATAATTAATTATACGTTTACAAGTAGTATGTGAAGTATGTAGTATGCACCTGCATATATATGAAATATACATTTACACATATTGTGTACCTGAATATAGATGTAGTATGTATTTAGATGTAGTATTTACTTGGATATACTGTAGGTGAAATATACATATACTGTAGTTATATACTGTACTGTAGTATGGAAAGTAGGCATTTAAACATAGTATGCACCTGTGGATGGATGTAGTATGTATTTAGATGTAGTATTTTCCTGGATATAGATGAAGTATACATTTAGACATAATATGAGACATGCATTTAGACATTGTACGCACTCAGATACAGATGTAGTATGCATTCGCATTTAGCATAAATCCTAAAGGTAGTATGCATTATTTCTGTTTAGTACTTATCCGTGCATGCTATGTATCCTGGATTTAAATAAAGTATACATTTAGGCATAGTAGATGCACTGTGTAGAGCATAGGATTATTTAGATTTTTAGATTAGTATTCATAATTTTTATTTAGTATTTAGGATTTAGATCATGTTATACAATTACTAATACCATATGTCCTGGATTACTTTATAGTATGCATTCGTATGTAGTCTGTGTTTTTAAACAGACTATAACAAAGCAATTCTGCAGTAAAGTCTCATGTGCAGATATGTTGGCTATTGTGACACCATCAGCATCAGTTTCAGAAAGCTCACATCACTCAGACTTCAGAAGAAGGAATAAGCACATCACAAGGCAAACTGGAGTTCAGGTTGAGCATCCAGGATAAATGGAATAAATTGGACATCAGCTGACCCGACTGTCCCATTCCGGAGAGACGGATGATCATGTTTCTGCATCAGAGCCACTTTGTTGTGGAATGTTCCTCTTGGTCGAGCTCCACTCAGCAGGTGAAAGCGATTATAACTTGATTTAAACTGAAGCTGCCTCGTGGACACGATGGAAAGTGTTCTGTATGTCCACCACACCCCAAACATATCACTATTCTTTTCTAGGATGAAACTATCAGTATTCTTAAATTGCTTGTATACCAAATAACACCGTGTAGGTCTGGATTAATAAACTCGGTGGCTTCATAAAACTGATAGATCTGCTTCTTCTGCCATTACAGTGTTGGGGGAAAAAGTGGAAAAAAAAAAAAAAAAAAAAAAAAGCAGTCAGTGTAGATGCAATGTGATCAGAAATATTGCTTTCGAATATTTTTCTAACTTATTTATTTATTTGTTTATTTATTCAGGAGCCTTATTTTTATGCACAATAAAAAGAACACTGCAACAATATATATATATATATATATATATATATATATATATATATATATATATATATATATATATAGAAAAATAATAATAAAAAGTAAGTAAGAAATAAAACACTTGGGGGCGTGCTGTTATAGGAAATGAATCAAGGACAGGGTGGTGAGATGCAGCTCAGTGCGAAGCGGAGTTAAGGTTACAAACTCAAAGTTGATTATTTTCCTATAACAGCACATCCTGAAGTGTTTTATTCCTCTTATACCACAGCAGTTTACCAATTATTACAAAGTTTTATTGATTTAAGAGCAACACGTCATACTTTTTCTTCCATTTACAGTTACATTTAATGTTGTGGAACAACATTCACAATATAAGTTATTGCTGTTATCACTTACATTTTAGCTGCTATAAACAGTAATTTTTCTCTCTTTTGAAGTTAATAAAACAAAAAATTACAGCTTGTCACCAAAAAAATGCAAAGCGTAAACTTCACTGTGCTGTAGCGGAAAATATACTGACTGTTACGCTGACACTGGAGACTCCTTCCATAAATGTTAAATAAAAATCTCCTCACAGCAATCTTCACGTTTCAATTACTGTTTTGTGTTTATGACAGGGTAAGTGTGTGAGACATCTGGTGTTCTTTGTTTTTTTTTGTTTTTTTATAGCAGCTATAAACAGTTGTTCCCTCACCAGCCTCTCTTTTTTTCTCTCTCTAGAGAAATAAAACAAATATAACATAATAAGACAAAAATCACAGCTTGCCATGTTACAGAGAAACCGCAAAGTTTAAACACATCTGTCCTGAAGACTTTCCTGTGGTGGAAAAACCTGCTAACTGATACAAAGCCCTGACACTGGAGACTCCTTCCATGACAGCTAAATAAATTACAGAAAACTATTATGCGATTAGATGTTTTTCTTTGTTAAATAACATTTCTTCTTCTTCTTCTTCTTCTTCTTCTTCTTCGATTATGTGAAGCATCCGCTTTACCTGTCCCAGTGAATTAGCTGTTGCTACAACACAAAAGGATATGATATAGTCACTTGGTCATTGTTTTGGTACATTAATCTGTATTAATCTGTTTCCTAATAGTAATAGTAAGTTTCTAAAAAGCTAAAAACACATAATGTGAAAATGTGAACACATATTTTGTACTTTTTTTTTTTTTTTTAATAAGCCTAGTATTTTGTCCTTTGGAGAGTAGTGTTTAGGACAAAAACTAAGTGAGAGAGATTTGGTCTTTGACTAGCTAACTCTTGCTAGCTAGTGTTTTGAACTCGGTTTCCCAGGATGCTTTGCTTTATTGTCTCGTTGCTCGGGGTGACAGAGAGAGAGAGAGAGAGAGAGAGAGAGAGAGAGAAAGAAAGAAAGGAAGGCGCTCTCTACTGACGGAGGAGGAGAACAGAAATCCCAACGGCGCAGCAGCGGCTGGAGATAACGTCAGGATGAAAATAAACAATATGTCGCACAGTCTCCGGGTTTGGAAACACACTCTTACGCCGTGAATACTGAAGGTACGTGTTCACGCACAGCTGCGAGTTTTATTAATACTATTATTGTTATTATTATTGTTATTATTTGAGGGATCCGGTCCGGAAGACAGGGAGCTCGAGCGCATCCTCGCGCCTGCACCTGCCTGCCATAACAAAGCTAACAGGCTAACT